GGTACGATCTCGCGGTCGGATTATTAAATTTAATACGGCCAATTACTCGAGGCGAACGTGTCAACCGCGAAAGCTAATAGCCGCGGGCGATGGAGTCGTAAGGACCTCGAAACCGCGCGTGCTATGTCTTTCGCGTATAGGCGACCGTTCTAACGACGCCGTTAAATCAGACGGTCGAGTCATTATTAACTGAGGACAGATCTAACGGCCGACCGCGACAAGCTATGCACCGAGAATACGCGCCGACGACGCGCCCACGAGACTCGCCGCACCCGACGGTTATTATACACCTTGTTACATTTTTCATCGAGAAAGATAATGCTAATGCTGACGGTGACCGGGAGAATCTCACACGCGAGAGAATAGCAACAGAATTCAACCGCGTTAGAATTTCTGATTAGATTGAAATGTGACTAGCGAAAAGAATACAATTTTGTTTAGTATCATTGGTATGTATCTTATCTGCTCGACGATGGCTACAATATAGATGTTACAGCGTAATTTATGGGATAGCACAAATGAATAGAATTCTAGCCTGACCCAAACCTGGACTTTGCTATAACATTCATGAATTCCGATGATGGCCTTAAAAGTTGGCATGGCCAACTGTTTTGCCCCCGGGTCGGATTGGAAAAATGAATATTTTACCTATCCTATCGGGCACAGATGAGTATGAAAGCTGTAAGTCCTTATAAGGGAATGTTTTATAAAAAAAAATATATCTTTTATAAAAAGAAGTGTCGAGAATTCATTCGATTAATTACTAGAAGTTGAGTGCTAATATTAAAAAATTGTTCGCGCAAACTGTCGAAACGTAATTCAATAATACACTGAATGTAGCGCTGAATGCTTCCAACTACGACGTATCAAATAACCCACTCAAAATATGATAATGATAAGACTTTCCCAAATAATTCAGCAATCAGGCGGTTATAGAAAAAAAAAGAGATTCTCTATTTCCGATTGATTAAATAATTTCGCAATAGTCTCGATTTTCATATTTCACCAAACTACTCCATATATATCCGCGTTCCCAAAGATTTCCACGGCGCGCTCGCTCAGCGAGAAATTAAAAGAATGCAACCAGCTCGAACGGCGAAGAATTACCATAGCGAGACGCGAGCGACTCGGATGAGCGCGCTAGGGGTAGTTCGCTAGAAAATCGATAGCCAAGTATGTGTGTTAGTATTACATATTTGAGGCGGGTAGCCGTGCATTCCCGGGTGTCACTCCTACACGTTTTCCGCCGTTGTGGCGCGTTCGAGCTAGTCGCGTTAAAAGGGGCATTCCGCGCGACTGGACAGAGCCAAGCGACTCCCTGGGCTCAGGTAACGTTCGAAACGCCGTCGCGTTGCGACGATATCGCACGGAATTCGTGACCCTCCGACGCCCACCAAACGAACATCCTCGTTTCCCCGTGTTTGTTTCAAACGAACGGTGAAACGCGATGGAAAAGTCGTTTTCGCGAGGGAAACTCGTCGATTCGAAAGCTCGAATAATCAGATATTCGCAGACACGTATCGGGTAATGTATTCGAACACGCTCTTTAACCTCTTCACGCCCTTGGACACATACGTGGACGTTTGGTTTTTTATAATTATGATTACTGTCAATAATAAAAAGAAGAAAAATTTGATAATAAGAAGAGGTTAAATGAAAGAATAATGTCGACACTCTAATTCCGTTCTTTTGAACATCTTTCTATCCTAACTGTAACCCTTTGCACTTGGGTCTCCCCTATGAAAAGACGTCATAAGTCTAACAAATTTTATTAGTGACACTACTGCAAACATAAATCATTTTAAAAGAATTTATCATCGAGTCTAATAATATCACAAAAGACACGTTTCCAAAGTCAGGCCATTTTATGTAATGCCATTCCTGCTCGCACGTTTTGTAACGAGATGGGGCAGAGTACAAAGGGTTTTTAATCCAATATACTATGAACGGGGCGATGACACTATTTCTATCGACGGTTAGTCGAGGCAGGTTACATGAGAAGGAATTATGATTGACAGGGAAAGTTCGAGTCGACGATGTAGGTGGTCGTTAGAGACTTGCTCCTTTTGCGTCGATGAGTCGCGGATTTCTTGAATGACAGATGATCAGGGGTTTACGATGGCGCCTGTAGAGACTCGGGACGACATTTCACGTTATATTATGCAAGTTTCTAGAGAAGTTGGACACTTTTTAAGAAAAGTGAAAAGCCAAAGTTAACTCTAACGCCAAAGACCATGTGGCATTTTAGCAACGCGTGGAAGTTAGAAAATCTGGTGATCGAGGCCAAAGCTAACTCTAACGCCAAAGACCATGCGACATTATAGCAACGCGTAAAAGTTGGAAAATCCGACTCGAAACTCCACGCACACTGTGTATTGTTTTTCATGGAATTTGGAGAGTCTCGGAATTCCACGAACATGAGGTCCAGTGAATCTTGCGCAAAAAAAAAGGTAAAGAAAATTTGAAACGAGAACGTAAACACAGGACGTAATGCCAGCGGGGTGCCATGTTCGACCGAAGGAAGTGTCCTACGCGGATTTATGCCGTTCAGGGAGTAATTGGATCGGTCGTGTTTACAAGATCGCATTACGTAAACCTTCCGTTATTCCGGTAAGGCCTATAACGTCGCGTCCGAACTCTATTTACGCGTCCCTTTCCTCCCGGCCTGTCGCCGTAAAAACGTTTCTTCGCCGCGCAACACGTAGCCCCACCCAGGAAACTGATAAACAAGAGGTCACTCTATCCCCATGATTTCAAGAGATCGAAGGACGCCGTTAGTATAAAACGGAGTAAATTTATTACAATTTTCCGAATTTTCCATCGACATGATTCACTTCTGATCCACGAGGAACAAGATTTAGCAATAGGCTGCTTTCAAATTCAAGCAAATCTATTTCTATGTCAATTATCAGCAAAGTTTTTAAGTTTTTCCGAAGGAAAGTATTGCCTAATAACCCATAAACATGCCTAGTATTTAATTCAGTAATTACCTAAGTCGACAAAATTCCATTTCGTTCGGCCTACAAGAGTATCTGCCCGTAACTCGCACCTTCGAAAAAGCGCTATTAACATTTCAATGGCCGCTGCTAACGTAGACGTAACCCACCGCGTTAACGAGATCATATTGTCTCTTTGTCGAGAAACAGTCGGTTACGAAGAACTAAATTTAACAATTTTCGCCGAGCAGTGGCGAGTAACGGGGCGCGATCAAGGAGTTAACATGACAGTAATTTGTATCAAAATCACAAAGCGAGCCTGACGAACGCGTCTCGCCAATTCCCTAGCAAATTCTGAAACCGATTTCGCGTAATCCACCCGCGCAAGCGTTGCCAAAAGAACTCGTTACGCGAATCAACGAACGTATGCATTGCTCTTACACGCGACAGAGTGACGTAACCGTACCTACTTCTTTAATTTTATTTATTTAACGGTTGCACACTCTTTGGTGGAATGATAATTAACAGACAAACGAAGGAAACACTTGCGTTCTAAGAAACAAGGTGAGACATCGAGAATGACGTGTTCCTTTTTGTCTCGATCATCGTTAGAATCTACAAGAGAAACGCTTGTATCGTCAAACTTGGATGGGTTTGTCGATTTATACAGTTGGAGTTATCGTAGATTGAACGATACGTCTCAATGACAAATACGGAACGATTTCTCCTTCGCTTGTTGATAAGTTTGAGACTGCCTATTCTTTTAACGACTTAATACTCGTTAAAAAGCACCATTTGTTTACTATAAAGATACGAGCGCTACAATAATAGTGGGTCTTTATCTTTACGAGATTGTTAGAATTGTTTCTATATTCTGGAAACACGTATCTCTAAAGGGGATTTGTAGAGCCAGCAGTAACGTTGCGTAACAAAAATATTTGTTTCTGGAATTTGTTTTACTTGAGGAAATCGAGAAGAGAGGCATTTTTACCTTCACCTAGCGTTAGACGTTTAGGTTACACGGAGCATCAAATCGATTAATTTATTCTGATGTGTCCGTTTTAGTAGACGTATATTAATAATGATAGACAAATGAACAATATTCGATATTAAGAGCTTCTTTCGAAGCATATTTCGTCACCAATATCCGTGGTATGATGTAAACGGGCAAATCTAATTGAAAGGAATTGCTAGCCAAAGAGCGAGCGGATTACGGCGAAGCCTAGGAGCGTTCTCCTCGAAGGTCGCCTTCATTTTGCTCGGACGAACGCGATTTCACGGTCGATCGAGTTCCGATGGTCAACGCTCATACGTTCATTAGCGGTCGAAACGAGCAGCGAGAGGTATGCCAGCGTTCTAAGGTTCGGGAAAAGGGGAAACGAAAGCGCGGAATGTCTCGCCTACTGATCAAATTTCCGTTAGGGATACTCGCACTTGAATCACCTCTACCAATATTTACGTTTCTTTAGCTCGAGCGACTGCCTGCCGCGAAAACAATATTTTCCAACGAGTTCAAACTTTCAACCAGTACTTCAAAAAACTTTTATATTTCTCATCGTATCGTATCCAATTTTCATGAAAATATAATCGAGACATGGATGAGATTTTCCGAGTCTATTTTTGACAACTCGTAAAATTTTCAGAAATAATTTGAATAAATTGTATTTTATTTACGCAGATATGATCTTTCTTTTTAAACACCAATAGTCGTCATTATAAATAAATAATTGAAATCAGTCCGATCGAGGTTGCGATTGTATTCAGCTTGTACTGATAAGATGCCGTTTCCCGAGAATCGATATCAAAAATTGATACCAACACGTGCTAGATATAATCGACGCGCAACGACACTTTTGCGTAGATACCGAAACGGTTCGATAGAAAGCGACGGTTTTTAACTCGGAACCGACACGGAAGTAATTCCATTACTGACCGACGGTCGGGATTTTTGTATCGATAAGCGAGACACCATCGTGGATCGTTCTCAAGCGACCATCGATATCGAATCGACCCTGCGAACGCGACCAACGCACCCCGAATTACTCGTGAAAGGACTCGTCCTACCTCGTAAATATCGATCCTCGTTTCCCTCGTAGGAGCGGCACTCGCATCGAATCGAAGGCAGCGGAGAGACGGGCGACGGCAGCCAACGTTGTCCAGCAGCCGTAGAAACTCGTAGAGCGGGAACAGACGTCGAACTTCGGACTCCGAAGCTTTTCTTGTCTCGACGGTCTCGTCGTTCGAACAGAGACACGTGGTCGAGCGGCGGCGGACGAGACTTTATCAACGATATCACAGAGGAACTGCACCCAGCGTAACACAACAAAAGAAACGGAGTCGTGGAGGCGACCGCTCGTTTCTCACATTAAATCACCGCGATACGATCGCTTAGTCGTTTGTGTTCCCCCCGCGGTTCGACTCGACCCACGTACACCTAAGTTTTCGAGGAGTGTGCACTTTGAACGCAACGTTCCGTACCCGGGAAAGTTTGCACGGACGCACGCGTCGATGGCACCGTGTCGAGATATCGTTTCCCGACGATCGTCGATTTTTTCAGGGATTCCCGATGCGGCGACGAGAAACACCGACTCACAGAATACGTTCAGGACGGAGAACGGGAAAGCATGCGCGACAGACGAACGGAGAAACGGAGCGGGTGGACGAAACGGACGCGGTTCGCACCCCAAAACTTATAGAAAGACGCGACGCGTGTCAAGTGCCACGCACGACTGATCAACCAAAGGGAAGTTCGGGGCTGGCGCCTGCGCGACCCGACCTTCCCCCACCCACGCGTTTTTATCGGGGTATCTATTCGGTCTCGCTCCCTCTCCGGCGCTCTCGCCCTCGGTCGTCCTCGCGCGCGGTCGACGCACCCCCTCCATCGCGGCCAACCACCCCTCCGACGATCAGGCTATCTCGGGACGATTCGTGATATCCTCCTGCCGGGTAGAGTGCTCCCTTGAACCGTCGCGTTAACTCCGTTTACGAGCGTTCTCTCCTTCATCCGACTGCTTCTCCAATTCGCGATCTTCCGCATTTTGGTTGTACGTCGCTCTAATCCAGTGATTCTTTACTGTCCGAAGCTGGAGACACTGTCTAGAATGGTCGTTAACAACCTCTTTTTACCACGAGCCACCTTATACGGGGTAGTCTGGTGGAGCCAGTGCGCCACCCTTTCGAAACAACGTCGTTAAACGAGAATTAAACTACCATTCTGATAATTTCCATCCTGTACAAAGTGTTGTACTGCTTAGAAAACGCTAATTTAATTAAAGAAAATAAAATTTATTTGGTCGAGACGAAACTAACGGTAATTTTACTTAATTACAGATACGAAGGACAACATAAACATGTAAAACAAAAAAAAAAACAAATTTACGATAGAATTACCCTAACGAAGACGTTACACATCAACAGCTTAATTTTTTCCTATAGGTGACTTCTTAATTGACTTTACTAATGAACTAGATCGATTAACGTATCCAAGAACATGTAACTCCACTTACAGAGAAGAACACACTCGACTGTCTTATGTCTTCCACGTGTATACTGACGAAAAACCCAGTAGCATTAAATTATGCCTCCCCTCGAAACCGTACGACATTCGTCTGAACTAATTTCCGATAAAGGTATTACTTGCGGAGTTACCGAAGTGGATTCAGTGAGCATCGCGCAAAAGTTCTCGGACAGTTATTTTTCTAGCCACTCTATATGGTGGAAGACCTTGTGCTCTTGTGCCACTCACTTCATTATATTTTAATTCTCTATTATTGAACACTCGTCTTTGTTTTACCCCTCTAAAGGAAACTTAAAAATGCAACCGCAAGGAAACTTTCGCGTTACGTTGTATATCCAAAGATTTATTTAGCACCCTGTCTTCGGGGCTTTGCAAGACCCGAAACTTGATTATTGTCCACAAAATCTATTTATTCGTTGCGTTGGTAGATGATGATATAGATGCAACAATTACGAAGATGACGGTTTTAACATATAGAAAGACCGAAGTGTCGATTCACGCCTTGAGTCTATTTATCTCGCCTTTAGTCTGAACGATAAGTCGCAAATCAAGGATAGGTGCAAATATTTGTCTGCGATGTATCGAAAATTGAATGACTCATTCAGTTCATTGCAATTTCCAAGTTAGAACTTGAAACTCAAGAAAGTTACACCCTCTGACTAGGCTTGAAAGCAAATAATCGACACTTTGCCTACCCAACAGATGGTCCATTTCGAGTGCTTCGCGTATCTTCTATAATTCGATCGAGTCTCTTGCATTCGACTGGACCAATGGAAACGTATACGAGCTTCGAAACTCGTAAATTTTCTCAGTCTACTTCTCCGATGCAATGAAAAAATCAATCGCCTCGAGGAAAAACGACAAGGAAATACCAAAACGAACACGTTACGGGTCTAATAATACGCTTGGATCGTTATCACGCTCGAGACGATACGAGTCCCGTTCCGAGGCGGCATTCCTGCGGAATTACGCGCTGATAAAAATATCCGAATAACCTATAGGCGGTCGCGTATCGCGACGACGCGATCCTTTTTCTGGAAGTCGGGAGATACATTGTTTGCGAAGAAACACGCGCAGTGATCAACTGTTCAAACACTGACACGGTTTTCGCGTGCCATAGTTCGCGGTACGCGCGATAAAGGCAGAAAACGAGGGGAAAGCCCGTGATGTTTAGCGAATGATCGCAAGGCAGTCCTTTGACAACGAAGAAACGGGAATGTTGGATATCGGTTAGGGGTGGGCCGATTTTTGTATCAGTTTATCTATGGATGAACATGGCGCATATTATACACACGTCTCATCGTATATATTGTAGGAGTCCCTACGAAAAATAAGGCACGGAGATTCGAACCAACGATCTTCGGATCGACAATCGATCGCTTTTCCTACACGATCAATTCCGCGCCCTGCTATTCGTGTTTTTGTTTGAATTCTTACTCGTGGGGAGCGCGATATTACAACATTATCTATACGATATCTTCATGAGAGTATTATAAAGAGATTGCCTAGAATTTCTAAGTCTCTTGTTAGCAATGGTTAATTTTTTAGAAGTTTCTATTATTTGTCAATAACGAGTTCCAACGACCCAACAATAATCGAGGTTCCGTCGTGCCGTGTTTGGCGCGAGGAAGCAAAAAGTGGAGGCCGTGTAAGAGGAAGAGATCGTTGAGGTAGATCACGAAAGGTGGAACGACCATAAAGCGAGTCGCTCGACCGAGAAATGAAATGTATCGGCCGACAAAAAATCGAACGACATTGGATCACCCGAAGAGTTTGCACCTGTGCGACCAGGTAAGGCCGATCTCTCTCTCTCTCTCTCTCTCTCTCTCTCTCTCTCTCTCTTTTTCTCTCGTGTAATCGGCTTAGCGAGCAGCATGCCGTCCCGAAGGCGAGAGAGCGAGAGTCGGAGTAAGGTAGTGCATAAACGAGCAAACATATTTACGAGAATGCGGTCGAGACACGTGCCAGATGCCAGACTCCACCGGTCTGGGTTAATCTCGGTCCTCTTAATCTCTGCGAAAGAGTAATCCTCGACTGCCGCGGATTACGCAATTAAAGTTAATTAAGCGTAAGCGGCGATAAGTTCCGCGGAAATCGCGAAAAGCATCATCGAAGCCGCCAACGCCAGCGGCGTCGCCTTTGAACTCGCGGTTCAAACGGTTTTTCATCGCGGAAGTCACGATTCGCAGAGAACGGTTAAAGCAACGTTCACGCACAGCGAAAGATAGCGAAGGAGCGCTTGCAGAACTTTTCATTAACGCTAAATCTACCACGATCGGCCAAATGACCGTTTTGCGTGCAATTGAAAAGCGCGGCTTTAAGACCAGCCATTTGATCGACCATTGTAGAAATAGACAGAAATAAATGTCGGTAGGTTTAGTGTTGATCCTCTGCACTCGGATGTTCCCTCTGAGGACGGGACCTTGCAAGTCCAGAGAACTTCGGTAGAGATCAGATAAGATAAATTCTCTAAAGCACAACATTTTCAAAGGCACTTTCTTGGAGATTTCCACACATGTAGTACGAACAAACAAATGAAAGTAGCATTACAAGAAATTACATGCCTTCTATGCTACATCCTTTAATATAACGTGATTCCTCTTATTAGCAAATTCTGCAACAAACTAGCTTCGAGTGCAAAGGGTTCACCTGTTTCCAACGATGTGCGTACATCGTAATAGGCGCCTGAGTTGGTACATAACAAAATTTACCAATCAGAAGTTTCCAAAAGATTCAAGAAACGACAAAAGTCTCGTATGTATAAACTCTCTTGCCCCAAATGTAAACGCAAGTCTAAACTATCGTTCCAAGATCGACGGATTTACGCGCTACGACTTATACTCCACGTGAAAACGGAGAAGTATAGTGGATGAAACGAAAAAGGGCTGATCCGCGATTTACTAGGATCGATGATGCGTTGGCCCGCTTCGCCCGCACTCCATCGATCCGTTTATATTTGCGTCCCCCGACTTTATGGGAATCCATTTGCGGCATCACCGCGAATTCCCGCGTGCCAAATGTCGTCGATGCTTCCATTTCTCCGGAAAGAATTCGCGCGCATCACGCAGTGGATTTCATTGGGTTCACGCAGATTTATTTTCGCCAGAATAATTGCTCGATCATCCGTTAATCGTCCTATTTTTCCTCTCCGATATCTATCCTGGGTTTTGTCTGGTTTTAGGGTGAGAAATTTTGGATTCGAGATACTTAGGGTTAACTTGGCACTCGAGACCTTTTTTTTTGGTACACGACTGCTAAGCTTAGATCGAGTTCAAAAATGAGATCTCTAATTCGAGAATTGAGAATTAGGTCACCTTTGTTTCACCGACGATCATTTTATTTACACTTCGAGGAAAAAACGCGGAGAAAGACATTTTTGCCTGTACGCGTTCTATCATCGTTATTATTGTAATAATGCGGTAATTAATTTAAAAAAGATATAGACACAGTGAGTTACAGTGAGACATTCAGGACGAAATTAATGGAGCAAAGAAGCGATATAAACGAGAGGTTAGCGTTAAACACTTCGAAAGAGATCCATTCGGTTTCGTTGTGTCTGATGTTTAATTTCCTATTCTACTTTTCCGTTTCTATTGCTTTCTCAGCCGTGACGTCCCATAACAAGTCAGTTGTGTTTGACGACTATATCCGTCATGGAGACTATATCGATCTCTGTATATATGCATATACATATACAGTCAGTCCCATAAATATTTAGTGATGCGCACGAGACGAGATAAATCTACTACTAAAAAAGACGCTCTGTCGCAAAACAATCCCTTGGCGCATTGCACCTACTACGGCTCAGAATTTCTTACACTCTTCTTCTACCGTTTGAACTTTCCCCTTAGAAAAGATTACTGTTCAAAATAAAACGACACTAACGTATCCATCACAACCCTATAGATTCGCGCAGGGATACCAAGAGACGGGCGTCGAAGCAGAGGGAGGAAGCAGTGACGGTCGGACGCGCGCGCGCACGGATGTGCGGCCGGCCAGCCACCTTCCTGTTCCTAAAATAACTCCTTTGAAGCGAGTTTTCACCCTTCTGTGCGAAAGGGGTCGAACATACGTCACACGTCCTCGGATGATGCGCTGAGACGGTGAACAACCAGCCTACGCGATTAATCAGCTAAAATCTAAACGAGTTTAACGACATGAGTTCTGCAGGCGAGTCGATTCATCTATGTTTAACGAAACGTTAGCCCACTCACTCGAGAT